TTTTTTTCTTTTTTTTTTTTTTTTTCAGACAGGGTCTCATGTAGCCCAGGTTGGCTTCAAAAATACTGTGTAGTCAAGGATTACCTGAAAGTTCTGATCATCCTTAGCTTCCTAAGAGCCAGGATTAAAGCCTGTGCCACCATGCCCAGCTGAAATTGCGTTCTACCTGGTCACTTGGTAACAACCTTGGACATTGAATACTCAGGATCATCTCTGAAAAGGCCAGAGGTGGGCTTGCAGCCTTGGTTTGTTTTGGTTTTTTGAGTCTAGGTCTCTGGGTTGCTTCCAACCCACAGTGATCCTTCCAAGTTCTTCGTTACAAGCAATTGCTCCACACCAGTTATCAGAAGTGTTTTCCTAGAGGAAACTCTGAGGACTGGTTGGTATTCTGCAAAGACTTTGTTGGCCACATCCTCCAAAGCAGCAGAGCTCATGCCTGAGGGGTGTAAAATGAAGTGCTGCTAGAACCGGCTCTTTGTGTGTGTCTCTCCTTCTCTTGTAGCTGAGAAGCTTTCTTGTCCCCACAGCGTGGGGAGGAGGTACACCAGAGGCCTTGATCAGAACATATCAGGACAATGGGAATTTCTTCATCCTTATTTCTGAACACAAGATGGTCCTTTGGCTTAGTGTTATGGAAATGTCTGAAATCTGAACTAATTTTTTTAAGGCGGATCCTGACTTAATTAAAAAGGCTCAGTATAATTCATGGAATTATAGAATGAACTCTTTAACACATTGCACATAAATATTCAGGACTAGGCACATAGAAAAATGAAATACTACATTTGTAACTGGAAGTCATTATATAAGCCAGATTCAGAAAGACATAGTCAGGAGGCGGAAGTAGGCCAATCTCTGTGAGGTCAATCGAATCTTTGAGTTCAAGGCCAACCTGGTCTACAGAGTAAGTTCCAGGACAGCCAAGGCTACACAAAGAAACACTGCCTCAAAAAAAAAAAAATTAAATCACTCATTAATGATTTAATGTGGTCAGTCTAGTAGCAGGATGCTTCCCTAGTGAGAACATGGCTCCGGTTTGGTCCCAAGCATCACCAAAAGGTATCATCATTATCACTAAGTCATTCATTTCCCGAGGTCAGATAAGTGCAGCATCTGAATTGCAAATGCCATCCAGTGGATAGCTCTAAGCTCTTGGTCACATCGATGGCCCTGTTAAAATCCTGTGACACAGAAAGTCAGGATGGTAGGGTGGGAGTAACCAGAACACATTACAGATGAAATTCTCCAAGAACAAACTGACTAATAGAAGAGTGTTACAGAGCTTTAAAAAGACAGAACAAGCCGGGCGGTGGTGGCACACGCCTTTAATCCCAGCACTTGGGAGGCAGAGGCAGGTGGATTTCTGAGTTCGAGGCCAGCCTGGTCTACAGAGTGAGTTCCAGGACAGCCAGGGCTACACAGAGAAACCCTGTTTCGAAAAAAAAAAGAGAGAGAGAGAGAGAGAACACTTGCTGTAGATGCAGGCTACAGCCTGGGTTTAGAGTAGAGACACAAGCCAGATCTAGATGCTGGCTGGCTTGGGATCTGGGGCTCGACACTAAACCTGCTATGGCCCATTCTCTGTAACATGAGGAAGAAGAGTTAGATGAAAAAGATGGGTGCTCTGAACGCTACAAAGTACGAGACACACAAGAAGAGCTTGCTCACCACTCGTTCAGCCTAGGCTCATTGTCTCCTTCATACTAAGGCTGTGGGAACCTTACTCTTGGTGTGAACATTAAAGTGAGTTGTTTTGGTAATGGCACACTCACGTTCTTTGGGCTCCCGCCCCTCCTCCTAACTGAGGAGTTGGCACATGGTGTCAGTTATCCGGTCCAAGCACAGGCGGATGAATGGAGCAGCAGTCCTTATCTTTGATATTAGAAAAGGTGGAGAAGGGCTGGAGAGCTAGCTCAGTGGTTAAGAACACTGACTGCTCTACCAGAGGTCCTGAGTTCAATTCCCAGCAAGCACATGGTGGCTCACAACCGTCTGTAATGGGATCTGATGCCCTCTTCTGGTGTGTCTGAAGACAGCAACAGTGTACTCATACACATAAAATAAATAAATCTTAAAAAAAAATCAAGAATTGTCTTTAAAAAAAGAAAAGGTAGAGAAGACTGTCTTAATAGGAAATGTTTTTGTTTTTGTTTTTGTTTTTTTCCTCTGTAGGAAAGGAGAGCTGCTTTGAGAGAATTGTTTCGAGGTTTGGAAAAAAAGTCACATATGTCGTGATTGGAGATGGACGAGATGAAGAAATTGCAGCCAAGCAGGTAACTGGGAAGGAAGAAGTTCAGTTATATGGTTGTGCATGCAGCAGTTAGAAACACTGCACAGGGGAGCCAGGTTCAGTGACAGATGTCGGCACTCCCTACACGAGGGCTGGGCAGGCCATGAGGGAAGGAGGAAGTGAAGTCTGAGGGTGTAGCTTACTTGGTAGGGTGCATTATCCCCCCAGGTTTACTCCTCAGCACTATATAAACAAGGATGGGGCATGCCTGTATCACAGAGCTTGTGAAGTAGAGGCAAGAGGATTAGAAGGAAAGGACATCCTCACATAGTGAGTTCATGGGATACATGAAATGCTGTCAAGGACTATGGGGAGAAAATGGGAAAACTGAAAAATATTTTTGTGCATCTGTGGTATCACCCTTCCTCACTTTTCTTTAAAGAAAAAAATCATTGTTTGCCAAATGGAGTTTTCCTGTAGTTTGTTAGATTTCCTCTGTCCTTTCCTCCCTGCCTTTCAAAGATCTTAGAACCAGGCCTCAGATACAGTGGATAATGCTTGCTTACATGCATAGGAATGTTCAGGCGCCAACACCACATAAAACTATACATAATGCTACACATCTGTGGTTCCAGTACCCAGGAGTGGAGGCAGGGGATCAGAAACTCATAGTCATCCCTAAGCTACACAGCAAGTTCCAGTCTTTATGAATCCTGATGTGGGCCTCATCTTCATCTGAGGGGACCAGACTAACTGCAGAAAGGCAAACTATTCTGACTTTCCAGGCTCTAGCTCTGTTCTTAAAAGTTGGGAGAGAAAGAGAGAAAGAAGAACAAAACAGTGTTCCTTGCCTGAATGTGCCCCAAGGATGAGGGGACTAATTCCAAGCGGCCTGCCCATGGGGTCAGCCAAGCTGTCCATGTCATCCTTCCATTCATGCCCTGATCTGGCAGTGCTGCACAGGGAACAGAGTCGGTGAAACCAGTCGGTTTCCACTTCACAGTACATGGATTCCAGCACTCCAGTCCCTTCCAGTACTGTACGAGGTATTCTTGGCACAAATCTGATGGCGTACCATCTACACCGCCCATATCTAGGGCATGAGTAGGATTTGAGCCTGCTGGAGCTAAGGCTGACAGGAGATTGACCATCTGTAAAGTAGTGAGACTTACCTTAGTATCAGCTTCTTTCCCAGCCTATCAGTTGTACCAGTATCTCCTGTTGCTCAGCCTGGCCTCAATTTTATAATCCTCCTGCCTCAGCCTCCCAAGTGCTGGGATCACAAGTATTTACCACAATATACAGAAATGCTAATTTTTTTATCTGAACCATTTTTATTTGATCCCAAAGACCTTAAAAGCTGGAACATGAATCTCATAAAAATACAGATAGCATTGAAACGTCCTAAAAAATTCCTCACGTCAGTATAGTGTCCTATGTTGTACAGTTATTACACGTGACCTGATCCTTCAGTCCTGTGAGGTGGGCAAGGATAGAGGGTTACCAAGAGCCTCAGGATGTCTGTGGAGGAGGGGTGTAAGTGAGTCCCAGAAGCTGAGCTAACTAACTAGCCTTCCTTCTCTTCAGCACAACATGCCTTTCTGGAGGATCACAAACCATGGAGACCTGGTGTCCTTGCACCAGGCCCTAGAGCTTGACTTCCTCTAAGAACTGGAGTGTGGAACCTTCCTTCCTTGTGAGCTTCGTTTTACCTCCGACAGGAGCCAGAAGCCAGAACCCTCTGAGCCCCTTCTCTCCTGTGTCTCTCTGTGTCTCAGCACCCCTCCCCTTCTCTTCTGCTCTTTCTCTCTCCATGGAATGCTGGCGAGAACACAATCAACCAAAAACTGCAGTTATACTGAGTGAGCTGCACCCCACGCCCACTGTACAGCAGGAGGTGGCAGGAAGAGCTGCAGACCGGCTGCAGCTGCCAGGCTTTAATTTCTGTTTCGTTTGAAAAGGAAGAACACGAGTAGCCAGTGCTCGGGGCGCAGTTGTACTCTTGCTGCATGGACAGACTGGGAGCTGCTCCTGATCGTGTGGATGGAAAATGTGTCCCCTTGAGATCGTCTTCTATTCTCTTAGCTATAGAATGTCTCTCCCAGTGAATGGGTAGGTTATTTTTATAGGTGAGGGTCTGGTATTTAAAACAGCCTCCCCCACTTTTCTATGAAGAAAGCAGTGTGTAAAGTTTCCGTGACAGTAGTAATGGAAATATCTAAAATACCTCCGTGACAGGACTTCTTCTGGACAGGACAGAGGCTCCAGTGCTCTGCTCTCTAGGGAGGCTCCTTGCCATCTAGAGGGCTCCCGTCACTCACTTTAGACTTTGGCATCTTCCATCTTGTAAGCCTCCGTTCTCTTGGCAGTCCTCCTTCATCTGTAACCAAATGGCACAACTCTGGAAACTCCTTCCCACAGACAATAAATCTAAGCCTTTAGCTTGTAATTCAGAAGCTCTGTCCCAGGAAGCTCAGCCTCCAAACTGGAGAGAAGGGGCTCGGACTTCTTAGGAATTTCATCCTTGGTTCCTGAGGTAAGATTTCATCTCGTGCTCCTGCAGAGCAGTACCTGTTCCCAGCAGATGCTTCCCCTGTGGTCGGCTCAGTCATCAGATGCTGGGCTCACACCCCCTGCCCTCACAGGCACCACTCTCCATGCAGTTCTGGCCAGCCCCTACCCACTCAGTTAAAGGCAGAAAGGCCAAGGGCAGGCTCTAGCTGCTTCCTTCACCTGCACTTGCACTCGGTGATCCCACCTTGTATTTACACAGATCTGTGCCTAGGAGTGGGGAGCAGAGAGCTAGAATCAAAACTCAGTTCCCGTGAAATACCTCACTGCTCAGATTCCATGCTGCAGTGGGAGACCAGGCCAGAAAGACATTCTTGACTTAAATGCTTGAAAATTCAATCCTGAGCTAGGTGTAAGAGCACCTCTCAAGCCTGCCCAGCTCCCTAGACAGTTAGGAGGGAAACTGGGCCTCAGTCCCAGCCCTCAAGCCCAGCTGTGTTTTGGTTTTATTTGGGTTTTTGTTTGGGTTTTTTGTTTTGTTTTTGTTTTGCTTTTTAAGGCACTGTTCCTTGAGTCAATGTCGGTGCCTGCTTAAACGTCCTTAGAGTTGAGGAAATGTGCAGCCTTGGTCTTCAGGGTGTCCATGACCAACCCCTAACTTCAATCAATGTCCCCAGAGATACTGCAGCCCAGAGGCCACATTTCTCTTCATGCCAGGCTACCAGATAATGACAGAAAGGCTACACAGCATCTTCAGAACTGGTGGGCACTTCTGAGTACTTCTGAGACCAGCAGTTGAGGAAGGGCCTCAGACAGGGGGGGAGGGTGGTGTCTTGGCCACCCATTTGGCTTTGTTTTGAGGTACTGATGGGAGCAAGGAGCCCAAGTCTAAGCCAGACCTTCCTAGGGTACATTTACCACCACTATCTTAGTCCAGGCCAGCCTTACTTCATGGTCCAACATAGAAAACTCCAAGATGAGTTTTACTTAAAAGTCTCAAACCCTTCCCTCATTGACAGTATAATTTCTTATCCTGGACAGTGGCCACCTATTGGTGCTGTGCTTCAGGCTTACCAGACTGCCAAGTGGTGACACACCCCTCTGCACACAGGTACCACCACAAACACTTCAGGGGAGACTCTATTCTTAGACTATAACAGGGAACCCTTCCCTCTTACCCTAACTGGAGAGGCAAGGAGGTATTCTGAGCTAAGTGGCTCCTGCTCCAGCAGCAGCTACCCTGTCAGGGCAGATGGAGCAGGAGTGCATTGGTGTCTCCAGGGACACCAGCCCTTTGTGTTGATTCTCTCTCCCTCCCACAAAGGCTTGGGAAGGAAAATGAGCAGGCAGCATTAAGAACTGCTAGAAATAGACAGCTTGGTGGTTAATGGCACCCGCAGATTGTGCAGAGGTCCAAGGTTTAGGCAACCCACAAGACTATTCACAACCTCTGACTGCAGCTCCAGAGGGTGTGTTGCCCTCTTCTGGCCTCTTCAGGCACCAAGCACTTACATGCATGTAAGAAAACACTCATAAGTATAAAATGAAATTTCTTTTAATATTAAAAGCTGTTGGAAGTTAGACCTGAAGGAAACTGGGTCCTTTCATCATTAGAAGGCAGTCCTTACTGGAAGGAACACCTTGAAGAAATTAGCTGGTGAATCCTTTCCCTGCTTGATCCTGTGTTCTAGAAGATTAGTCTGGACATCTCATGGTGACAGCTAGTTCTAGGAGTGTCTGAGGAGTTGCAGGAATGTCCTGGGATACGAGGTGGCTCGACTTTCGAATGTAAAAATGACTGTGCCTTAGCATCACCCTGTCCAGTGCCCCGGGGCAGCTGGTGATATCAGCGAGAGTGGATACCTGCTCCACATTTTAGGTGCCTATTTGGGCTTTTGATTTGGGGGTGTTCTCTTTTCTGGTAGTTGGGTGTCAGAGCGAGTGTCCCCAAGAGACTTGGCACAGCTTGTTTGTGTTCACCCAAGCTCAGCTCTTACAGCTCCAAGTAGAATCTGGCGTCTGCAGCCACAAGCACATGGCGCTTCTAGACACCGCTTTGAATTAGAGTCACATAACTGACGGGAGCACCAGGCAAAGCTCGATGCTCTCCTGGAAGAATACAGGCTAGCCTCCAAGTGCCAAGCTGCGGCCTTGTTCCTCACTCTTCCCTAGGTTGTAGCTGAGGCCATTCCTGAGTAAGCTTATGCTCCTTGCTTCTCACCTGGTCAAGCAGCTAGAACTACCCAAACACATTCATTGTAGATGCCAAGTTGGAATTCTGAGCTTCCCAAATATCTTAACCACAAGAGGGAAAACTCCGCTTGTGTCCCAGCCTCATCCGAGGGCCGCTTGCTCTCCCTCTACCCTGAGTCAGTTCTAGTGAGCATGGTTCCCTGGCTGCCTCCTCTCACACCGAGCAGAACCATCCCAGTTAAGGACCGTTTCCACTTGGATCACCACTCTCCCTCTGGACTCCGGATGCCTCTTTAGCAGGAAAAGGCATCGGTTGGGTTGGATATATATATTTATGTGACTGCGGGCATTTGTGGCTATAGAGTCCTTGACCATAATGTTATATGTAATGGGAACTATCTTATAAACTTGAAAAAATAAAGTTTTTATTTTCTATACAGTTTTCTCATTTGTCTTTTCTAAATATGGTTGGCCCATTTGCCAAGCCATGCAGGGTCCTAATCAGGGCTTCATTAAGATGTCACCTTTAAATAACTTGAGTTATTCATTTCACACATACAAAGTGATCATTTGGTCTATGTTGGAAAATAAAAGGTTGTAAAGTTTGCAAGAGAAATGTTTGACTTTTTTCTACAATATACTGCTTTTCAAGGTATAGAAATGGAATAGATTTCATGAGCTGTCAAATGTGCTGAACTTTACTACAGAGGAGTTGGTCTGTGTTGAGCATTAAGCTGCAAATCCAATAAAGCTAATGAATTAATATGAAACCTTTTATCTGGCCTGATTTCATGTCACATCAACCAGGTTTTCTCCATTCCTCCACATTTGGTCTGATTGGCCCCCACCAGCTTAAAAAAGAGCCAAGAAGCCTTTTTGCCTTTTGTTCCAATGATGGAAATTAGAATTTGTTTCTAGTTTTCGAAGGTTAGATGTCTGACCACAAGGTGAATTTCCGCTGGTTAGTAGAACGTTGTCTCAGTCTCTAGTTGGTGATCCTTGGAGCCACAGTGCAGCTGGAGTAGACCACTAGCTGCTGTCTGCACCCTTGCTCAGTTACAAGTACAGGCTCTAGTGCTGCTTTCCAAACCCTGTAGTTACGCCCCTTTGGCTCCCCCCGAGCCACGTGAGTACTGCACCCACCCAAGAGCTGTGAGAATGAGACACACACACCTTCTAATTTTGATATGCTTCAACTAGCTCAGTGGCTAGTCAATTTAACATTTCTAATCCTCTACGTGGCTAGCATAAATCCTCCTCTCCAACTTTCCTGAGTCTACTTGCTAAATCAACATTTCATCTCTGCTACCCCAGACCCAATCGAGGGGGTGAAACCCCTCTGCTTCCAAGTCCTGGTAGTTCTCCTCCCCCAAACCCCCTCTCAATTCTTGGCCCATGTAATCTAAAAGTCCTGCCTCTTTCATCCTGCCCAGCCGCTGGCAACTTTATTTCCCAATCACAGCCAACTGAGGGGAGGCTTCCTTTAGCATCGCAGATTCCCATGTGATTCTGGGAGCCGAATTAAGAATGCATTAGAAACAGTCCCCAACAAACCCAGACAACAAACACTGTCTCCAAAAAAAAAAACATTTGTCCAGCAAACCTTTCAGTGACATGTAAAAAAAAAAATTTTTTTTTTTTTTTGGTTTTTTGAGACAGGGTTTCTCTGTGTAGCCCTGGCTGTCCCAGAACTCTGTAGACCAGGCTAGCCTCGAACTCTTAAACTCAGAAATCCGCCTGCCTCTGCCTCCCAAGTGCTGGGGTTAAAGGCGTGTGTTACCACTGCCCGGCTGACATGTAAATTTTAAAAACTGGTTTCTTCATATTTCAAAGTTCTCCGTTAGATATGGTGTTTGTCATCTTCATAAACTGAGGCAGGACTGTCAAGAGATTGGGCTAGCCTAAGCTACAGTGTGGAGCCTTGTTTCAAATGACCAAAAATACGTGTGTTTTACTGGGAAACTTCAAAGGACATTTTCTAACTACAGGTAATGTCACTAACCTGGTTTTAAATTCTCTAAACTTTAAGAACTTTGCATGGCAGTGTTGAAGCTGAGGCAAGAGAAAGATGTGCTCAGAGCCATCTCAGGCCAGACTGTGTCACAAAACAAGAACAATGTAGTAACGTGTTTTTTTTAATTTTAATATGTGTTTGTGCATCTGACTATGCATGTGCAAAGGCCAGAGGAGGTTACAGCATTCCCGGGAGCCAGAGCTAGGCAGTCGTGAGCTACCCAGAATGGGGATGGGAACCAAACCCTCAGTCTTCTTCAGGAGCCAGGAGTGCTCCTAACTGCTGAACTGTAGCTCCAGCCCCAGTCCTGATGTGTGTTTAATCCCGGTACTTGATAGGTGGAGAGAGGGGGAATTAGCCTCAGCTGTGTAATTTGTTCCCAGATAGCCCTGTTTCTTTTTTCTTTCTTTTTTTTTTTTTTTTTCGAGACAGGGTTTCTCTGTGTAGCCCTGGCTGTCCTGGAACTCACTCTGTAGACCAGGCTAGCCTCGAACTCAGAGATCCACCTGCCTCTGCCTCCCAAGTGCTGGGATTAAAGGCATGTGCTACCACTGCCTGGCAGCCCTGTTTCATAAACACAAAGTATGCCTGAGTGTACTTTAGGTTAGTATATGCCTTTGTGTTTTAGGTAGTATATATAGTTTGGATTTAATTAAATACATGTTACCATCATTTGACAACTTCATCTGGACTACAGATGAAAGCTCAGCCAAAACTAAACTTTTAAGCACATGTTGTAGTTTTGTTTTTATAATTTTTCTTTTGCTTGAGACAGGGTCTCATGTAGTCCAAGCTGGCCTCTGACTTTGTCATTGAGTTTGAACTCCTGATGTCCTTGCCTAGAATGGCAGTGTGCCACGCTGGCCCAGCCTTCTGTAGATCTTACCCTTTTCATAAATGAGGATAACAGTGATTTCCGGTGTGTACCTCTGTAAGTAGTGAAGACAGAGGTGGCAGTTGATTCTCATGCCCTTTTAAGATCAACAACCACTTTGGCCCCTTTTACTGGTCTGTAAGATTCAGATCTGGAAATCAATAGGTCTTTTCGGTCCATAATTGTCAGCCCGTACATTTTAGTATAAGAAGTACCTCCCCCCAGAGCCTCTCCCAGGCCCCCACCTGCATCTCTGAAGCCTTCTTAGCTGTTGGCCAACAGCACCCCACAGTCCTCTTGCAGTGGGATTGCTGTCCCACAGGAAACAGCATTTGCAGATTCCTTCTCCAACATACCACAGGCTCTGCTTACCACTCAGGGGCTCCAGGCTGCAGTCACTGCTGAACTGGCTCACCATCAATGCCTCAGTTTCTCCGAGGGGTCTTCCCTAATAGTTCTTTATAAAGCTGCAACTTCTACTCATAATATCCATCCTCCCTCTCCCCTCTCCATCTGTCTTTCAGCACTTGGGACACTGGTGCTTGTTTTGGTCACAATTTATTTCACCTCCACACAAATAAATGAATGACTGGTAGAACTATCTTGGATCCCAGCACTGGGACCTAGAACATTTTCTTCTGCCCCAGGTACCTTTCTTCTGTTCCCTGTTCCACCAGACCACAAACCACCCAGAGCAGAACATCCCATCTCCACAGAACCATCGATCACATCCCAGGAGTCTCCATACCTCTCACCCAAAAAGGGCCCCCAGTACTTTACCTTCCGCCCAGACCCTCAGACCTGCTTCTTCGTCCTAGAGATGCTATGTCCTCTTTAGGCGCAGTACAAAGCTGCTAAGAGGATGCACTAGAGTCTACCCATGAGTTCTGCCAGCCAAGTGAGCCACCCACTCTGGCTCAGTAGTTCCTGCTCTTGGGAAGCAAAATTAAGTCAAACCTAAGACAGCCCACATCTGTATGCCAGGGGTCTCTGTCAGTTTTAAGGGTTCCAGACCCCTGCTACGTGTCTGTAAAGGGTGATAGACTACACTTAATGGTACATACTGGTTTGGAGAATCTCGTGAGGTTTTAATACTGTTAAACACATGCACACGTTCTTCTTTCATATAGACTGAGGTAGGAGAATGAGAAATACTCAATGGGCATGACCACAGGTCCATAAGGCACTTGGTGTAAAGGTGGCCTAAGAGAGGGGCATCTCTGGCCTCAGCTGTTTAGGAGTCTACCCAGGATTAGTCCAGGTGGGCAGGGAAAAAAGCTATGGTGGCAGCCAGTTCAGAAGTCAGGATGATGCTCCTGGAACATAAAGTGCCTTCAGCATGTGTTGGTTGAAGTGAGTGGATGGTATGGGGTAGGGAAGAGTTCCCATTGAAAACATCTCCCAGAATCAGTGTCATCTAGAGCAGGCTGGAACCAGGAACCAGGATACCACCAATCACCTGAGAGGGGAGCAAACAACTGAGGATTTGCCCTATCTGTTGGAGAAGAAAAAATGGCTTGCACGTGATTGGCCCCCTTGTCCCTTGCAAGACCCCACTCCTAATCTTCCTCACTGAATCAGACCCTGCCTCACAGGACTCCATTCAGCTGTACCTCCTCTGTCAGGGCAGCCTGAGCTTTGGCCTTGGCAAAGAAGTCCTTTGCTAACCGAGTGGCGCGCCTGTTATAAATCAGCTTAGGAAGACGTTGAGGAGGAAGGAGTCTTCGGGTCCCATCCACAAGGTCAGGTTCCCAGCTGCAGCTAGGGTGCAGCCAGAGGTAGTAGATCATACGCAAAGCCAGTCCCAGGAAGAAGCAGCCTCCTCCTATGGTAACCCACATTGGCAATGAAGCCCCACTGGGCAGCCAGGTGCCGTTTATCACCCAGAAGGTGGTGACCAGCAGAACACTGTCACTGAAGATAAAGATCAGATGGATGATGGCCCGGCCACGAGTTCGGCCCCCAGACACGTTGAACCAGGAGAAATAAAGAATGATCGCCACTGTCACCCGGTATAGCCACTCACCGTTGGAGTCAGGCATAAACTTTGTGTCTTGAAGCCAGACCCAGAACAGTAGTACCAGCCACAGGCTGAGGAAGTGCAGAGCCACATGGTAGGGCAAGACAGCTGAGAACAGGGCGATGGCACAGATTCGGGGCCCCAACAGCAGCAGGTTCCAAAGGAAGTAGACAGCAGAGGAGCTCCAGCCCAGGCGTGCCTTGGAGGGAAGACAAGTACGCAAAGACCGATGGTAGTCCAGCAGCGCCCATGAGATGCCCAGAAAGGATGAGCCGATGCCAAACCCTGCCACGAGCAAGAAGAGAGAAGTCAGCCTGTGTGCAGCCTGTCAACTCCCAGACACACAGGAACCCATAGAAACACCCAGAAGCAGGTCTTAGAAGCCCCGACTTGTTCAACAGACAGCTGGAGAGTGAGAACATTTGGAGGAGACAGTGCTCTGCTTTCAAATGCTGTCCTGGTAACATTCTTAAGTATGAGAGGGTATGTGACATGACATCTCAACTGTGCCTTAGCTGTGCCTTAAGCCTCTTCCAGGGTCTGTAACCCTTCTTTCCTGGAGAAGCCCAAGTTCTCAAGGTCTGAAAATATGGCCGCTCCAGCCCCTCCTCCATGTCAGAAAGTAGACAAATCTCAGAGAGTAGTAACAGACCTCCAAATGCAGCTCTCTTCAGGACTGGGACTGATGGCCAGCCCATCCCTTTTCTCTCGTCCATGTCCAGCCTAGCCTATTATCCTGACTTTCCAAGATCTAGGAGCTGTCCCAGCTCTGCACTGCCTTGGGCACCTGGGCCTCCAAGAAGAGAGTAACATGGGCATGCCTTACAAATTGTCTCCCCTCACCTCTTCTAACTCATCCGCTCAGCAGGAGTTTACTGATAACCTACTACATCCTCAGAGCCCACTTGTGGCCTGGTATCACATCTCTAGCTATCCCCATCTCTTAACTACCTGCCAACTCCTCACCCTACAAACCCCAGCCCGAATAAATTCTGGGGCTACCCACCTAGATTCCACATTGCTGTCAGAGGCCTCTGTAACAACCCACCTACCCCATTAACATAGCAATTACCTCCTTTTTGGTTGGGTGATTCTCACCCACCCTCATCCCCACACCCCACCCATCTACCACCACCACCACCACCACCAGCAGCCCCATCCCTAAGACAAGGTTTCTCTGTGTGGCTTTGGCTGTCCTAAAACTCACTCTGTAGACCAGGCTGGCCTAGAAATCAGAGATTTACCTGCCTCTGCCTCCCCAGTGCTGGGATTCAAGGCACATTCCATGATGGCCTGTCCTTTATTCTACTCTTGAGCTCCTGGAGGGTAGAAAACTTATTCTGCTTACCTGGGATCTCCAGGTGGCCCAAAATGTGGCACATAAATGTCTGCTCAATTAAAAGGAAAGAAAAGCCTGTCTCCTCGTGTTCTACCAACAGTATAGACTGTCCACCTGGCTCTGATTTCAACCAAATGTCAAGTACATAGCAAGTGCTGCAAAGGCGCAGTCAGCTTTCTGCACACCTCTCTTCTCATGTGACATGAGGGGTTCTCCTAAGTCCCACCGCAAGTGATGACAAGATGGGCTCCTTGGACAGCCACTGCAGAGGACCTTCAGGAATGAAGTGATGGGCAACAGAAAGGGGTAACCTGGGCTCTCAATAAGGTACGAGGCAAACTGTTACCTAGTCTCAGGCTGGGCCCATGGTCTTGAGGAAGTCTCTTCTAAGGCTTCTCACTGTCCAGATTCCTCTGAGGGTTTATGGGGCCCTGACACCTGCTGCTTCTGGTCACTTGGTACAACTAGTGTAACTATTTGTTTTAAGGCTACTGGCTGGGTGGAGGCCCTGTATATCTTGTTGGCAGCTGTGTCCCCAGCATAGTGACAAAGAAGAAACGAGTATATAAAGGTACCTCTGTGGGGACCGAATGAAGTCCTGAGCGGATGTGTATTATTGACATGTGCACGGTCATATCAAGACCTCATTGCCTCAGATCTATGGGATGACAAGAGACCCCTTGTCTAACTAAGTATGGATGTTTAGAAACAGCTGTCCTTTAGCTAAAACCAGTATGTGCAGAAACTGTCAACTGCAGTTCCAGCTCCCACGACACGACCTGAGATGGATGCTCTACAGAAGCCTCCAAACGTCAGGTGAGCTGCTGCTGCAGAGCCCAAGGCCCACCTGATTCCAGCTTTTTTGTGTACCTGTTGTTTTCCATTGTGGTTGCCAGTTAGGTCAACCCGTAAACTATGCAGGTTCAGACAATGCTCAATACAATGTCCATTTCTTACCAAGCCCATAATGTGTCAGGTAACCTATATATTTTATTTATTAGCATCAAAATAATATAAAGTGGAAGTACTAGGGAGGCAGGAGCAGGAGGATTTCTGGGAGCTCAAGGCCAGCCTGGTCTACACAATGAGAGCCTGACTCAAAAATAAAATGGGCTGGAGAGATGTCTCAGCAGTTAAGAGCACTGGCTGCTCTTCCAGAGGTCCTGAGTTCAATTCCTAGCACCCACAAGGTGGCTCACAACCAACCATCTGTAATGAGATCTGATGCCCTCTTCTGTGTGTCTGATGACAGCTACAGTGTACTTATATACATAAAATAAATAAATAAATCTTTTTTTTTTTTTTCGAGACAGCGTTTCTCTGTGTAGCCCTGGCTGTCCTGGAACTCACTCTGTAGACCAGGCTGGCCTCGAACTCAGAAATCCGCCTGCCTCTGCCTCCCAAGTGCTGGGATTAAAGGCGTGCGCCACCGCTGCCCAGCAAATAAATCTTTAACAAGAAGATTCCTCCTCAATAAAAAAATAAAATAAACGATGGAGAACAATTCAGAAATACACCTGACACTGACCTCTGGTTTCTGCACAAACGCACACAAACGTGTACATATACACATTCACACAAGGCCCTGGACTTTCTATGCATGTAATTCCTCCCATTTCATCTTCTAGTTACTCCACAAGATAGGCACATTCATTACGCCCAGTGCTCAGATGAGAACCAACTGATGGTTTGACTCACTGTTCTAAGTTCATGCAGCTTGAAAGGGACTTTCTATTTGAATCCAGACCAACTGCCTCCGTCTCCCTATTTTTTTTTTTCCTAAGAGTGAGAACACCTGCTGAGGAAAGAAGGGCTAGCAAAGGTGACAGCCGGGGGGCCTAGTACTCACACTGGTAGTATTCAGCATGGCCACTCTGAAACACGATAGCCAGCACCAGTGTGAGCTGTGGCGTCGCCTCCAAGAAACTCTCGAAAAGCCGCAGCATGCTGATGTCCAGGCACAGGAAGTCCGCATAGGCCAGGTCACACTCCGACGGCACCTCCTGGTAGCACATGGTCAGCCCCTGGTGCATTCCGTGCAGACACCTAGGCAGAACACACAGGTGCCCAGGGGGGCAGGTCAACACTCTGTGAAATCTTCCATCCCCTACCACTGAGTGCACAGAGGCAGACTTCAGTCCTAGCTTGTCCCTTAAAAGCTACAGAACCTGGAGCAAGCCACCTAACTAACCTCACAGGACTTGTCTCCTCATCCGTAAAGTGGGGGAAATTCAACTTCTACTCTTGCTGGTCAGGTATGATCCCAAGTGCATCACAACCCTGTCCTACCTACTCACGAGAGCCCATTTTAGAGATGGGAGATGGAATTAAGAAGCAAACAGGAGGGGCCTGAGAGATGGTTTAGCTGTTAATTGTATCCACCACTCTTGCAGAGGACCAGAGTTTGGCTCCCAGCACCACATGAGGTGGTTTACCTGTAACTCCAGGGGACTGCCTGTAATAACAGTCCTTCAGTCATCTGGGCTGTACTCATGATGATACAACTGTTCAGGCAAAATGCAAACATTCAAAACGTCCCTCCCCACAGACTGTATGCAGCTCTGCCAAGATCAGAGACTTCCACAACGGATTCTGGATCTATCCACCCCACCCCAGCCCACCTCACGTCATGAAGCCCTGCCTTCATCACATGATTATGACTCCTTAATTTCACTTTCTGCCATCTAACAACCCAAGGGACTATTCATAGTTAGAGAGAGAGAGAGAGAGAGAGAGAGAGAGAGAGAGAGAGAGAGAGAGAGAGAGAGAGAGA